ACCCTAAACCCTAAATCCTAAGATTGTGAAGGTCCTCCACAGCCAGCCCTGCCACCGAACTATCGATTGTGACCTCGCAGACGTCGGACATGCAACGAGAACGGGCGGGGGGCTAACGGTGTTTAGGTTTCGGGGTTTAGGAGCAGTCCTTAGGAGGACCCCCCACCCTGTAATAGTGGTATAATAAGAATATAAGAGGACCCTAATACAATCCCTATTATCCCTTATAGTCAGTATTACTGGGTGGGGGGTCCACCTAAAGTAGTCCCTAAAACCTAAACCTGCTTAGGGCTTTAAGGTGGTTTCAGGATGGTTGTGTGGGACCCTGGGGCTAGTAACCTACTTGTAGAAAGTTACAACGGCGTTACAATGACTCGTGAAATGGCTAGTAGATGACCTGACAATCTATGCAAGGTTACGCTGGGGTTATCAACTTAATCTAAGTTACTGTATTGGGGAAACCCTATCAATTACTTACTATCAGAGGGGTGTATAGGGCTTGGGGTTGAAAGGGGAGTAGTAGGGTTTACCTGGCCCTCTTTGGGATAGGTTCCCACGCCATTAAGGGTTTAAGGTTTAGGGTTTAGGTTGTAGGCTTTTGGGTTTAGGGTATCCGGGGACCCCAATATAGACCCCATAATACTATACTCCGTATTATAGGGACCCTAAAATGCCCCCCCCCCCCATAATTTTAGGAAACACCCCATTAGGGGTGAAGGGTGCAGGGCTTCCGGGCCACAGGCTGACGAGCAACGTTCTACGGATTTTTTTGGTCTGATCGGGCTCCCTGTTGGAATAGGCTTTGGGGTTTGGGCTTTTGGACCTAGGATTTGCTACTTTCCCCTCATAAGAGGACCCACCGTAAACCCCAATATACTATAATCCTTATTACGGGAACCCCCCAGAAAGGTACCCCTAAGTTTAGGAAACCCCATTCTTGGAAACCTCGTATTTCTATTTTCCGTCTTGGATTCTTTTCAACCCCTAGGGCTCCAGTTACCTGAATAGTAGGTTACTGGGCTAGGTAGCTATAGGGTATGTAGAACCCAGTTCCCATTATTTAGGTGACTGGAGCCCTATGTAACGACAATACTCAAGATTCTGCATTCGATTTCACCTTCCTGGCTTCTGTTTAATGAAAGCTAAAAAGTCTTTCCAAACCCTGAACCCAAAACCCAAAACCCCTAAACCCTGAACCCCTAAACCCTAAACCCCTAAACCCTAAACCCTGAACCCTAAACCGAACCCCTCAACCAGTGCAACCCTGAGGCTCGGAGAGTAACTGGGGACGTTCATTGCACCAACCCCTCCGGAAACAACAAAAAAGACTCTCTGACTAATTCTCATATCAGCTATAAACTCCTAGCATCCTTCTTCATACCCCTATAATACTTATAATCTCTTACATAACCCCTCCTAAGGATTCTATGACGAATTCTCATCTGATCTGATTCCTCTTGGGTCCCTACTGTAAGGGCTGGGTTTACCAGAATCCCCGAAACCTTTGACCCAATGCCCTCACTAAAGAGGGGGTGTGCTACTTGAAGGCTCCTTCTTTTAATATCCCACTAGATTTAGGGTCTAGGGTTTCTACCATCCAACCATCCAAAACCATCTACAACCTAAAGCCTCAATGCCTAAAGCCCCCCCCCCACCCCCCCGCTTTTTCTCATGCAATTCGGTGTGGCAAACGTCGCTGTGTTGGGAAAACCTATGCCGTATAGGCACCACCAGAGGCGTCCCACGGATTGGGTCAGGGTAGTTCAGGGTTAAAGGTTTGGGGTTCTCAAGGCTTAAGGTTTAGAGTTGAGGGTTTAGGGATTAATGATTATGGTTTAGGGCTCAGGGTTTGCAGTTAAAGGTTTCGGGTTTAGTGTGTCTTTGCGGCGTTATCAAGTTCAGGGATGTAGAATGGAGAGTCAGATGGAAAAACATACATAAATAACATGTATCCTTGATGTCAAGTTTATGGGCTTATGTTTAGAGTGTAGGCGCGAATGCCCCCCCCCCCCCCACCCACTTTTCCGGCTGTAAGACCTCGATTTGGGAAAGTAGATGTGAGGCACTTCTGTACTTGGGACGCTTCGGGCGAGGCGTAAAAACCAGTGCGAGATTGTGCCATGGAACTTGTTTAGGCTTTGACGGTTCAGTGCATACCTTTTTCAAGGAGTAGACGGGGAGAACTAGTTATAACCCGAAACCCCAAACCCCTAAACCCTAACGTATAGGCTGATTAAAGGGGCTTCCTACAACACTTCTGACTAGCCCATGACGCTTCAAACATGGCCTTGGTCGAGGCATCCCTATCTGCTTTGACAGCTGGACCCTTTGCACTTTAGCAGCAGGTCCGCCACACGTGAATGCCCTTGTGCTTGGGCAATATCTAAACAGGACATGCCACCGGTACATTGGTCCCGGTTGGCGCGGGCCTGCAAAAGTAGCTGCACAACCTTCGCATGACCCCGGATGCAAGCAATGAACAGAGGGGGTGGACCAGACTCTAACTCGTCCACCTCAACCTCGACCTCACTCTTCAGAAAGAGATGCGTGACCTCGGGAAAGTTGCGCCTGCAGGCTAGGACGAGGGAGGCCGCTCCGCAATTGAGGCGTTGGTCCTGATCCGCTCTTGCCTCCAGCAGCAGGCGCACCACTGGAACACTGTTGTGCTGGCACGCCATCAACAACCTCGGCTGGCCTGTAGATCTCTTTGAAACATGGGAAGAGGGTTCTGAAAATTAGGGGGCCACTTTTTGTGGGGTCCTGTAATGAGGTTTATGGCATTGTAGGATCTATATTGGATTCCCCCATTTACGGAGACTAAGCTACCATGTCAGCCTTCATAAAACCAAGGGTGGGAAAACACATATATCAAACAGCGACCCAGCAACGGGGTTGCTCCACTAGTGTTGGCTTGGTTCTTATCTGCGGAGTCCTCCAGCAAGAGGCGCACAGCCCTAAACCCTAAACCCTAAACCCTAAACCCTGAGTCCTCCAGCAAGAGGCGGACAGCCGTCATGTTATTGCGCCTACAGGCCAGAAGCAAGGGCGTCTCCCCATCCACTTCCTGAGTTGCTGTTAAGGAACTTAGATTAAGTTACCATAATGGGTATATATAGTAAATAATAGGGTTTCCCCAATATAGTAACTTAATTTAAGTTCCTTAACAGCAACCCAGCTTCTTTCTCTTTGTCGGCGCGGGCTTCAAGCAACAGCTGGACAACTTCTTCCGTGTTGTTGTTATGGCAAGCAGCAAAAAGTGGTGTTTGTGAGATGCTGGCCTTGTTCTTGTCGGCATTTGCTTCCAGCAATAACCAAACAACTTGAACATGGTTGTGCTGGCAAGCCCCAATCAACGGCGTCATGGCAAACCTGCATGGCTTGTCCTTGGTTGAGCTCAGCCCGCAGCTTCCCAAACCCTACCCAAAGGTCCCAGTACCCAATAAAGAGGTACTTGGGTTTTGGGGCAATAGCAATTCTGGAACAGGTTTTGGGTTTAGCCCCTTTTAAGTAGATAGAATATTGCTTTGGGTATATTAAACAAAGATCCCCATATACCCAATATTCTATCGACTTACGGGGGACTCTAAGTATATGATTCTGGGTACTGGCTACCTTCGACCCAAAGGACCTTTAGTTCGAGGACTTCAGATGAGCTAAAATCTGAACTCCTAGTATCCCCCTTAATAAGGGGCTTAGGGTTTAGGGTTTAGGACTTAGGGTTTAGGAAATAGGGGCTAAACTCCTAGTATCCCCCTTTAATAACCCCTATCATGTAGGGTTTAGGGTCTCAGGGATCAGGGTTTTAGGTCTAAACTCCTAGTATGCCCCTTAATAACCCGTATAGTACTGCCCTATATAATCTCCGGCGCAACCACTATGGCTCATATGAGGATTTGTACTATAGATAGAGTCTGAGGGCGATTGTCCAAGTTGTGCGTTTTGGAGGCACACCAAGAGGGACCGCCGTTTTGACGACTCTCTATAAAGCCTGAACCCTAAACTTTAAAAAAACTAAAACTCTAAACCCTTAATCCCAAAAACAAACCATAGACCTTGGGTACTGCCTAACAGTTGGATAACAAATATAACATGGTTATGTATAGCCATTCATAGAACCCCTAATATAGACTGTTGCTGGGGGGCGCAGTACCCAAACCCTAGCAGTACCCTAAACCCTAAACCCTAAACCCTAACCCTAAACCCTAAACCCTACACCCTAAACCCTAAACCCAAAAAAACAAACCATAGACCCTAAACAGTGGGTCTAAAACCTATAAAATGGTCTACAGCTTGGTCTTGCACGTTCCGGGTTCTCTATGCAGCTTATGGGCCTGCACCGAAATGGACCACACACTTACCCAGACCCCCCAAAGGATCCAAAAAATGGAAACCCCCCAAAATGAACCCCATTACTACATTGGGGAACCTAGGCTGTTATTAAGAGGTTCCATTTTTTGGATCCTTTAGGGAGTCTGGGTGATTGGGTTAACAACCCTAAAACCTAAACGCAAATCCCGAACCCACGCAGCCCCGTGTCCTGACATATCAAAACTATGAGGACCGCTCTTGGAAAGCAGATCTGAACCCATGAAGAGCAAATTCATTCGTATTTTCCGTACTTCTGAGGAATTCCAAAACAGAAAACACCACAAGGTAGATCATGGCGGGGGGAGGGGGGGGCTACCGCCCATATCTATATATATATATACACACACATAGACTTGATGATCAACATCTTCTGAAGATTGGTCTTGCATCCTTGTCAGCACAGGCCTCCAGCAACAGTCGTGCCACCTCTTCAGGGGTAATTCAGAATACCTAAACCCCCGAAGTATGTAAAATACTGGCCTTAAACCCATAATAAGAGCCCAAAGGGCCATTATTCTACATACTTTTGGGGCTCAGGTAATTTCAATTCCCCATTTAAGGTCATTTTGGTACTCCCTATATAAACCTAAACCCTAAACCGCGTGGTGAGGTGGGGTGAGGTCGCTTTAAATTGCCAAACCTTTTCAAGGCTCCAAAAGCAAATCCCAAGGAACTGAGGCTGCTTTTTGTTGTTCTCTAGGGTTTACGGTTTAGGGTTTTGGGTTTTGGGTCTTGGGTTTTATGGTTTAGGGTTTGGGGGTTTCTGGTTTAGGGTTTAGGGGTTTCTGGTTTAGGGTTTAGTTTGGGGTCATATAGGGATAATGGAAAAGAGCATGGAAACTACTATATTATAGTAGGGTATATATTGGGGTTACATAGGGATAATGGAAAAGAAAATGGAAGCTACTTTATAGTATATTGGGATAAGGTAGGGTAGGTGTTTTTGTTCTCTAGGGTAGGTTTGGGGTTTTAGGATCTTGGGTTTTAGGGTTCGAGGGCACCATCAACACTCCAAATCTTTAACGCTTTATAGGGATTGTGTCGGGATGAAAGGCAATGAAAGTTACAACATATCCCTAAACGCCAAACCCTATACCTTAAACTCTATCAAACCTGCGCAGGGTTTTCAAGATAGGCTTAAAGCTGACATGTTTAAAGGGACTTTACTGGGAACCCCAAGAATACAATAGGAATAGGAATATAACAGAATACAAGGACCCTCGTAGGTATATTCCTATGATATTCCTACTATATTCTTGGGGTTCCCTGTTTCCTGTTTGGGGTTCCCAATAAAGTCCCTTTAATCTTCAGGGCTTAGCTGGTGGCGTCCGAATAGTAATGCTCCCTTGTTGTCAAGCGGGAGCACATGTTTCCAAGAGCTCCCGCAACAACCATCGATGCAGCCCTCATCTACAGATGTGAAACCACACTGCTTTCAGAACCCTAAACCCTAAAGCCTACAGGCCCTGGAGACACTAGGCCTGGTGGACTGGTTGGATTGCACTTCATCAATCGAGCTTGCTAGAATGGCAACGTCTTTACCACATCATCCATGCCCTAAGCCAGAAAACTCGCTAGCTACTGCAAACTCAAGGTCCCTTGGTCTCGAAGCCCACCCAACCTCCACGTGGCCCCGGCCGCAAGCTATGTACCTTAGCTGACTTTAGGACTGGAAATGCGTCATGAAAAAACACTAGTGTCATACATACAAATATAGATATCAATATAATATATATATATATGTATATATACAACAAGAAAGGTATATTACTTGCCCTACACCCCTATATAACCCTATATAATAGCTTCCATCTCGTTTTCCATTTGATGTTCCATTTGCTTCCCCAACCTCAACCCTAACTCCTTCGTTTAGGGTTTAGGGTTCTAGGGTTTTAGGGTTTGGGGTTTTAGGGTTTAGGGCTCAGGGTTGGCTATCTCTACTTGGGTTTGAAGCCTCTCCTACAAGATAAGCCTGTCGTTGTCCTATCCTACATGAGCTATTCTCTGCTCCTGGAAGGGGTCTATAGAGGGGACTACATAGGGGAGTCTGATAGGGGTGAGTAGGGGGATACTACGAGTTTAGACTATAGCTTAGGAGGACCCCCCCACCTTGTAATACTGGTATAATCGGAATATAACCGGACCCTACTATAATCCCTATTGTCCCTTATGGTCACTATTACTGGGTGGGGGGTACACCTAAACTATAGCATGAGGAGGATCCCACAAAATGTAGGTTGCAAAAGGCAGGCTGAATTACAAAACACCTAAACCAATAGGCCTGAATGTCAAACTCTTAACCTCCTAGACCCCAAACCCTAAGCCCCAAACACCCCTAGAGTTTACAGTTTAATCAAGGGTTTAGGGACGCGCCAACAACCCCAAACCCCTCAACGCCTAAACTGCTGAAGCCAGGCAAAGAGGTGCAAAAGTGTCTGGCCGGCCACTTCCAGATCGGGATCCAGGGGCGACTGTAGCAACGACGTCATGTTATCCACATGGTTCCTGTAGGGCGTAGGAGTCAGGGTTTAGGGTTTGAAAGCACGGGCCCCCAGTATGGGCCTTTAACCCTGAAATCCTCATATACCAACTATATACCCTATATATATGCCATTTGAGGGTCTCCAGAATCCCCCCAAAATGCCTAAGGGCCCATATTTGGAGCCCATACTTCTAACCTTGGAAGGTTTAGGGTCAGAGAGGTCTATGGGGGAAGCCACTCCTTGAGGGGACCCCAATATAGATCCCAAAATACTATAATCCTTATTATGGAGACCCCCTAAACCCTAAACCCTAATCCTTCTTATGGGGACCCCCTAAGGTTAGATTAGGGGTTTGGGGTTTGAGGGCTCATGGTCTGATGGGTTTATGGCTTTAGGGCCGGAAGCCCTAAGCCCGAAACCCTCTCTAGAAACCCACGAGCCCCCAACAAAAATGCACAGGATCCCCGATACGCACCCCTAGTAATAACTACGCTTGTTACTATTACTAGTGAGATGATTACTATTATTGCCATTGTTACTATTACTACGACTGTTACATGTATTGCGATTATGCCTGTTATTGTTACTATTATTCTCTGGCATCCTCACCAGCCCTAAGCCCCAAACCCTGAACCCTCAACCTTAAAGACTCTCGAACCAGAGTGCATGTTCAGGGGCTTTGGGCCACAGCGGATGCCAAAAAATCTTGCCTGACCCTTATTGCCTCTGTTTAGGGTTTCAGGGCTTTAGGGTTTGGGGAAGTATGGTATGACTTGGGTACTGGCCCCCACCGAGAAACTGTCTATACTAGGGGTAATATAAAGGGCTACGTATAACTATTATCCAACTGTTAGTTACTGCGTGGGGGCAGAAGCCAAGGTATGACAGTCGACTAAGGTTATGCGGGATTTAATCGCAACAGGAATTTGGAAGGCCAAACCCTAAACCCTAAACCCTATGACGATACTTCTTTGGTCTTGGTGGGGAAAAACGACGAAACGCTGTTGAAGGGACCCAGGAATCCTAAATCCCATAAATCCCAAACCTCAAAATCTGAACGCCGAATCCTGGACCCTAAACCCTAGACATCCCTATCGATAGGGTTTAGGGTTTAGGGTTTATCCGCTTTGAAGACCCTGGGAATCCCCCTAAAGGGCTCTGTATA